AAATTTTCAATGATTTTTTTTTTTTTTTTAGAAAATGATGTTATCATATTGCTTTCTGCCTAAAGAAGTGGCCCATAATGCATTTCTTAATTTTTTTTCTATGATTTGCACTTCGCCTAATCTTATTTCTATTAATGATCTTTAGTTTTAAGTAGGATGAAACTTTAGTTTTTATGTAGAACTATAATTAGATATTTTATTCTTTACTCATAGTAAAATTTTAACATTTTTACAGTTTAGTGGATTTATTTTCAATTCTTTGAGTGACTAGTAATATTTAAATTTATTGTACTCTTACCATTTAATTTCTATAGAAACACCCATTTCAGAGCAATAGCGGGAAATATGTGAGAAAAAGGCCTGGGTTGGAGTGAAGTTTCTGCAACATTTTGTTCTATTAGTCACTGTCTTAATTATGCCATATTTTGATACAATTAAGAGTAAGATAAAATAGGGTAGTATTCTCCAAAGTGTGGATATTAATATATGTTATGCAAAAAAGAAAAAAAATTACATGGAAATAATTTTAGAAAGGCTGTGTTAAACAACATTGAATAGATTTCTTGCCTGTAGAATTTCTTAGAGCCTTTAATTAAATGCACCAATGGGTACTGTGACACTCCAAGAAGAAGATAATCTGTAGTGTTTCTCAAACAATGCTTATCTGGCAGATCAACCCAAGGGACCTGCATTCCATAGAACACACTTTGGGAAACCTTGAAAACGAAAATTAGTACTTTCACTACTAACTGTTGATATTAGTAATGTTACATTCTTTTAGATTTCTTGACGTCTGATGTTAAAGTCACTGTATGACTAAATTAGTATATTTATTCCAGCAAGCTTTGTTTGTTTTTTGCCTTTATCCTTAAAAAGATTTTGCTTTTGGAGATAAGCAGATTACTGATTCAGAAGTTAAGAATTTAGGGCCGGCCCGTGGCTCACTTGGGAGAGTCCGGTGCTGATAACACCAAGGCCCCGGGTTCGGATCCCATATAGGGATGGCCGGTTCGCTCACTGGTTGAGCGTGGTGCTGACAACACCAAGTCAAGGGTTAAGATCCCCTTACCGGTCATCTTTTTTAAAAAAAAAAAAAGAAGTTAAGAATTTAGAAGAAAAATAATTCGACCAAAGTAGGTTTCATAATCCTCACGAGAGCGTCCATAGGAATACATGCTTTAAAGAGAAACCAAAGAAAAACCATTTTTGTATTTTCTCTCATAAGTTCTTAGGGAACAAAACGTTCCATTGTGAGCTGTGTTAACTTAACCCTTCAAGCCAAAGATCATAGACTGGGACCCATGGGGTAGATTTGATCTGCAAATAGTTTTGTTTAGCCTAAACAATGATTTTAACATTGCATTAGTTCTAAAATTTTAGAATCTTGAAGTTTCACATAAAAATCTGAATTTCTAACTACTTTTGAAAAATGGAAAAGTCTGACAAAACATTTACAAATGGTATCTCCTTGCTGGAGCTGAGAAGTACCTGCTCCCTTCAGAAGGACTGGTTTGCTCCAGGTGTCTCTGACTGCCTACTAACAATTGTCCTGGTGGTTTAACACATTTATGCTATTCATCTGGCTCTTCAGGCATTTAACTTTGTGTGACCCCTGATGTAAGGACATGGCCTGGCCAAAGGGGTGGTGCCTCCCAAATGATACTGCACCACTTCTTCCTAGAGTCACCTTTACAAGCAAATGTGGTCAGGTTGCTTCAGGAAGGAGTGCTAGAATCGTGTCAGGCTAATTTAAGGGAATCTTCACTGTTTCTGGGTGATGTCCCTATACTTGTCCTCAGGATGTTGAAGCTTTTACTACCCAGAGTATAGCCTATTTGACAACATACTGGAAGAGTTGCTTCTCTCTCTCTCTCTCTCTCTCACACACACACACACACACACACGCACACACACTCACACACACACTCTCTCTCTCTCTCACACACACACACACACACACAGTTATCCCTATGCAGTCATCCCTCAGTATTCTAAGGGGTTTCACACACACACTCTCTCTCTCTCACACACACACACACACACACACAGTTATCCCTATGCAGTCATCCCTCAGTATTCTAAGGGGTTGGGGAGATTGGTTCCAGGACTCTCTCAGACAAGTCCCTTCGTAGTATTTGCGTATAACCTACAGGCATCCTCCAGTATACTTTAAATAATCTGTAGATTACCTATAATACTTAATACAATGTAAGTGATGTGTAAACATCATTATACTGTATTGTGTTTTTTTCTTTTTTTATATGGAATGATTCACAAATTTGTGTGTCATCCTTGCACAGGAGCCTCACTAATCTTCTCTGTATTGTTCCAATTTTAGCATATGTGCTGCCAAATCACAACTGTATTGTTTTTTATGTGTATTGTTTTTTATTGTTGTTATTTATTGTTTATTTATTTTCCCCTGAATATTTTCAATCTGTGCTTGGTCAAAGCTGTAGATTCAGAACCTGTGGGTACAGAGGACTGACTATATACGAAAATTTGTATTTCCAGGGCATATTTATATTGAATTAGGACAGAGCTAATTTCATCCATTCTCAAAATAATTATCAAAGAAACAAAGATAATTAAAAAGCTGTTCTTTTATTTATACTCTACTCCTTTCCACAAAATACTTAAGTCAGCTTATAAAGTCTGGTATTATAATAAAGCAGAGAAACACATACAGGTATATAAAAAATAGGACCAGAAAATATATCCAAAGAATAAGTTCAGAAAGATAGAAAGTGATCAAGCCCTGGGATCTGAAAATAAACCTAAGAAGATGGAGAAATGTGCCTTGTATGAGAATGGGCTTATATTTCAGAGAGAAACCAGAGTGTGAATGGAACTTCTCAGTACAAACAGTACCACAGTATTACTTTGTGCTTAGTGTGTAGAGTGTGCTGATGTTGGCCTATATTGACATTTCTCTCATTCTGCAAAGTTGCCAGCTCTGAGCAGCTGTTTTCTGGTGGCAGCTGGGAAATGTAGGTTTTGTGAATAGGGTTAATCAGTACCGTGTCCTGAGCCATCTTCCTGTATTTTTACCTAATCCAAGAATAGGGTAAAGGAATGGGCTGTGTGATGTGATTAAGCAAGGGGGAGGATGGGAGAAGGCAATAATGAAAGCTCTCAGCAGGAAGGTTTGAGATCTGCTGCAGAGTTTTTTTGAGCAACAGTAACCTACAGCTATTACAGAAGACTGCGTTTTCCGGACTTCTGATTAAATGAAAACAGACCACTGTGGATACTACACAGGAATTGTTTTCATTTTTGAAAGAAAGCGATCCATGACCAAATTAATTAACATAAAGTGATTGGAATTAGCTTACCAGGTCCCGAAGCTGCCTTAACTGCTTTGTTAGGAATGAGACTAGAAGAGAGGGTTTTGCGTAGAAAACATGTCCTTTTTTTTTTTTTAATTGGTGACATTAGCATCTATTCTTACAGTATCAGGAAGTTATCATGTTTTTAATTAAAAATTAGTAATGGGCCCTCACGAAGGTGTTTAAAAGTGGTGCTTTATGGTAGTAAATCTACCTCTGTGGTAAATGTCAACAATTTAGTTAAACAGATCATATTTTATAAGGAAAGAACTGGGTTTTTTTCATGCAGTAAAGGTGGAGCACATGTGTGAATATTAACAGAATTGTAAACAAGTCCAAGTTTTCAGGATCTAGAGAAGAAATGGAGATTTTTGTTGCTTCTGGCTAACTGGTAAGGACAACAGTGTCAATAAAAAGCAAAAAGTTAAGTGGGGGTAAATTTTGTAGCAATCTTAAGGAATATGTAGACTGTTTTTAATTGAGAAATGCCAATTTTGGGGTCTATTCAAGGCATTTTGAAAGTGTAATTGGCAGAGATGCTAACTTTTCAAGTGGGAGTACTCTTGGGTATAAACCAAGCCACATAAGAAATGATCTTGTGTTTCCTTGCATTAAGTGTTGATGCTTGAGCAATGGGAAAAATGAAGAATTCTCTTGATACTAAGGAAATGAAAATTCAACTGTTTTGTTTCCTATCTTAGTTTGCTGGGGGTGGTGGTGGTGCAGTAGAAGGATGTTCCTTAAGGACAGTTAAAGGATTCCCCTTCTGCACCCAGTCCTGGCCTCCTGCCTGACTGGTTGGTTTTCAGGCAGTGTGAAAATCACCTTTTAATGTGGGAGGGTTTTTGTGTTTGTATTTTTTAAAGCTACTCTTTGGTAATTCTGTCATGATTAAAAGGAATATGTTTTAAGGTTAAGATTATGATGACATACCTCATTTTTAACTGTATGATAAAATAGTACAAACTATGGTCATGAAGTCAGAGTCCCAATGAAGAGAAATTGCCAAATAGAAATTTGGCATAGAGGTTTCTTTTTGTACTCTTTAAAAATTTGCTTCAATTTCTAGGCTTGCCTTTATTCAACCATTCTCATTTAGGAAAATCAGATAAGTCAAAAGTAGATAACTTTCTACTTGCATCATTTTGTTATCTCTGGTAATTCTGTGCTAATTTGCCAAGTGTTAATCTGTGTTAAAGCATATTGCTGAAAGAAAAATGTTTTAACTTGGGTAATGAGAGTTAAAAAGCCAGACATATAGATAATTTTTAGAAAATGTTCATAATATTCCTGTCACCTTCCTTTAGATGGGGTCTTAAAATGCTAACTGATGTACTGTGACAGGTTTTAAACAATCTGTCATGTGTTAAATGAATCTGTTTCAAAATGTAGAATCTTGTCTCTAAGAGACTGCCTTTAAAAAAACCATAGGTGGTTTCTATAAGTTTCATGGTATATGTCTACAGTGTTGAGAATAGTATTTGTAAGTAGATTCCCCAAGAGCTCTATTGAAAGTCACTTAATGCAGATTACATTAACTAATTAAATGGATTTTGTTCAGGTCTTGTATGTTGTAAAATGCACAAATCAGTAGGTTTGTCTTTAGTCATCTTATTCTCATTTGAGGTTGATGGAAATGGAGTAAGGACCAAGTAAACAACTTTTTTTCAGGTGCAAATTCGACCGTGGAACCTAAGTGACAGTGACTTTGTAATGGATGGTTCTCAGCCTTTGGACCCCAGAAAAACTATCTTTGTTGGGGGAGTTCCACGACCCCTTCGAGCTGGTGAGTGGAAAAAGTAACACCACAACAACAAAACCAATAACAACAAAATCCCCAATGCATTTCATCTTAAATATTTTCTAGATTTTTATTCAACTGTACACAATCTCCAAAAAGAAGGCTTTCATGTCATTTTCATGGAGCTTTTTCAGGATTAAATGTTTTCTCCTAAAATGTTCTATTTTCTTTTTGTACACATAATGGTTCATTAAACCATTATGTTGAAAGGATGAATTCTATTTAGTGCTTTCCTATCTAACTACATTTAAAAAAAAATAATACATTTGGCAATGTGTGTTCTTATGCCAGTTAACATTGTAATGTGCAACAAAAAAAGGAAGTAACCCCATCAGAAATCTGTCCAGTGCAGCTGTGTGTCCACTCTGTGATGAGCCAAACCATTGCTGGAAATTGTGCTCTGGGAATCAAATTGAACTCTTCCCAAGTGAGATAGGTTTCTATTTTTTCTTACAGACTTTGAGAAATGAATTATAATTTGGGCATCTTTATTATGACTTTTAAAAAGCTTCCCTGTTTTTTAAAAGTTCCTTTCCAATTATGAAATAATTGTGCTGCTGAGATTGAGTAGAATCATAATTGATTGGAGAGTTTGAAGTGATGCTGAATCGACGACTTCAGTATTTGAGTCCAAAGACAAATCCAATCAGCTGTGCATCAGTGTTACTGACAGTGGAATATAATGAGATTATTTCTAAGAACTGTGTTTTTAAAGCACTTAGAATAATTGAGTTTATTTTTAAAAAGTAAGACAAAAAAATAAGATTACCATTGCCACTGCAGTTGCGCAAGTACACTACCTCTGTGTTATTTGTAAGCAAGTAGACTTAGTTCTATCTAAAAAATAAAACAAAAAGCAAACATCATGAAAGTCAAGTTTTAAAAACAGAATTATAAAGTGTAACCTAAAGCTATTTGGCTGTATGACTTTGATGACTTCTTAATTCTGAAATTTCTTCAACGTTTCTAACATATCTATTCAAATCCCAACTCCAACCTACACCTAAAAGATAACTGTAGACCTATGTAAAGGTATGTTTATAATTCCATTTTGAAGGACTTTTAAACATATTAATTATGACTATGGAATGTGTAATATTACACTATTTCAGAAAGTCAAATGTCATTGGGTTATTTTCATCCTAATGGAAAACTGTACCAAAATAAAGAAAGAAGACAAAGCAACAGAGATGCTTCTCCTTTATCTGCTGTCAGAGAATAAAGTGTAGGAAGGTCTAACTCAGACATAAACAGCATTACCAGATGAGGGCGTATGCAGCCCTTTATTTCTAAACTGCTTGTACTTTAAAAAAAATTGTGGGTGGGGGTATTGTGGAATATTTCTGACCTTTCTAGCTGGTGTTATGTTTAGGAGTAGAGAGAGGGAAATATCCTCTGGTATTCTTTTAACAACGTAGATGTTCTACAAATGGACATTTATTGCTAGTATTCTGGCTATTCCCTTTTGCAACTAACTACAAGCACAAATTAGTTTTAATATTCTTGCCCCTCTTCTTTTTTCCCAGATAGGAATCTGAAAAGATATTTTGAGTCTGTATTATTCACCCTTTATTATTCCTGTTTTAATGATTTGGAAGGGTAGGTAAGGGCCTTTGTATCATTTTCCTTCTATAAATTCTTCGAAGGTTTATTTTTCACACTTGCTCTATGATCACACTGATACTGCAAGAAAGGAGCCCCAGAACAAAAAATTGTATTCTTTAACGTTCTGTGTCTGCAATATGCTTCAAATTTTAGAAATAGACAAGAATTATATCTAGTCAGAAATGGGATTTTGTGTTCTCTGCCTAGATAGTACATCTTTCATTAAGTCCTGAAGTTCTGTTTGTTTTTTAAAAAACTAAGCTAAAATTTTTTGGTTTAAAATTGTTTTGTTTTTGCAGTTATGTAAGTAGTAATCTAAAATTACTTGGTCTAATGAAAACGTTCCCCCCATGCCAACACTTCCCATAAATGTAGCTAACTTCTAGGTGGCTAAATAATCTATACTAGTGTTTTAGAATTTTACTAAGTCCATAAGTTATACTAATGTTTTACAATTTTAATTTAATCCCAAGGCTTCCAGAGTAGAGGCCATGTAATCTAGAAAAAAAGAGTTAACATCTACAGCTTTAATCCATGGGCATAAAATTGTGTTTCTTTGGAACACACTGAGCTTTGTGGACTGGTATATGCCTTGGAATAGAAGACTATTTTTAAAAGAATTCCTTTTGATTTTGCTAAGCAATCTTAAATACAATACAGTGCAGTTCATGTGAACAATAAACATTTATTGAGTATCCACTGTGTTACTGGCACTGAGCAAGTGTGTGTCATTCCAAACTGAATGAACATCCCACTATCGTGTTAGACAGCCATCATATATAGAAAGTCAAAGATTTAAGAACAGAAGAAAACAAGAAATGTGTTAATACAATGCTAACTCATAATTAATTGGAAGCTAAATTATATTCCTTAACATGATTCTCAAATTTGGTTTTGAAATACTTCAGGCATTTTTTTTTATTACTTCCAAGGTGTATTGTAATTATGGAATTCTGAAAAGTCTTAAAACTATTTCAGGGAGTATATACAGAATGATCCTGGACTCGATGTGGGTGGCAGTAATCAACAGGTGAGATTTTTTAGGTGTCCGGATGGATTTTTCACCTTATCCTGGGCCAAAAATTTTTCTTTAATACTTCATAGTGACTGAAATCTTGTCACTCAAGTGTTATTACTTTGGATCTTGTGAGGTCATTTATCTTTAATATTTCCCCATTGTAAGGCAGGGACCATTATCACTAATAGTTGTTCTAAATAAATCCTTATCCCTACAAACATAAATATACAAACACCTCTAAAAGAAACATGTTAACATGTTTTAAGTAGTATTATCCCAACTGAGTTTAGGTTGCTCTTTCTGGTCCTTTGACAAGCCTTCTTTTTTAAAATTCAGGTTGGAAAAATTAACCTGAAAATGGGAAAATATCAGTGGAAAGTTTAGATGAGCTTTCCCATTGCCTGACTGTGGGTTTCTCTAGGTCAAACAACACATTCCTACTGTTTCTTGTCCCTTCCATCACTCCCATCAGCGACAGTAGCAAGCCAAAGATGGCTTGCCTGAAGTCTCATGGTGTTTCTCACGTCTTGTTTTCTTTCTACTCCCTACCTCACCCCACCCCAAAAAGGCTGTAGGTAGGCTCACCATGCCACCATGTGGCTAAAGCTTGCATATTCTTCAGAGAGTCAGTATAGGGAAATGGGCATTTTGTCTGGTTCTCCACCTTCTACTACCTGGAAGTACAACATCATATTTCCACTCTTCATTCAGATAATATGAGCAATGCGTCTTCCTGAATCTCCATACAGAAATAGCCCTGTTGCATATCCCTGTGGCATTAAGACCTCTTCAGAATGCACGCCTCTTCACTTGGCCGGAAATAGGTGCCAGGCTTGGGGGTTATGATGAGACCATCAGGAAAAAGTGAAGAATGAAGTGTCTGGTCCCAATACTCTCCTCCAGTTTATTCACATGAGTATTTCTCAGACCCCAACTTCTTGACTTAGGCATATGATTTGAGGACTGCCTCAGTGACCAGGTTTTGGGATCCATCCTCTCCCAACCGTGATCAAGCTTGAAAAACTCCCAGTCCTTCTCTCTTATTAGAGGCATGTGAGTTGTTCTTCCACTTTATAATTTCCTTCTGACAGTTTATCAGACTAGGCCTTGCAGAACAAATCAGTCTTGAGAGATTGCTCATCTGAGCCCCTGAAGCCTACTTTGGGTCTCCTGTCTTTCCTAACTATTGCTCTGATAATTCTTTCCTTTCTTTCTTGTTCTCCCCTACTAATATTCTGTGATGCATCCTGAAATTTCCTTCTCTAACTTCCCTTCCCTACTCTGACTGTTATGCAGATGGCTTTTCTGTAGGGGGTAAAAACTTTTAAGGTAAATATTCAGTGATATGTGGCATATATTTAGAGAACATACATCCTGACTTTTTCTAAGATCATTTATTTCAGACATTCTTTACAAACTTTATGGTAGTTCACATGTATAGGAATCACATCCTGATTTGTGATTTAGGAAATAGGAGTATTGTAACCATATCCTTTCTTTTTGTTCTGTGAAGTGGTAGCAGGCAGAAATCATCCTATATTAAGTTTCTCAACAGTGGATTTTTTCTCCTCAAGTCCCAAGTTCAGTATGAGTTGTCCTAGATAAACTACAGATTTGGCATACTGACTTGATAACTGAATTGGGGCTAAGAATTTTCTAATGTTAGTGTGTGTTTTGTTCTCCCACCCCCCAAAAAGCAAACCCTCACCCACAGCTGATGTCAAACTTTGCTATTATCAGTGGCAGGTTGAGTAACGTTAGCATAAAGCCAAAGTAAGACTGGGATGAACTGGTGCTTATCAAGCAGAAACTAGACCAACATAATGTTAAACAAAGATTTATGAGTAGGGGGGAAGACTACTCCTGGACAAAACTAAACATTTGAGTACACTGTGCTGAGCAGTATTCTCAGAGCTCTCATGTCTGTTTAATCCTCATGATAACCCTGTGCAGTTGTAAGTGATAGACTGTATTTTAGAGATGAGGAAGTAGAGTTCAGATGGAATAATTGGTCTAAGACCACAATAAGTAAAAAGCCCAAGATTCATACTTAAATCTACAGATTTCCAAGTTCGGGGATCTTTGCACAGAATGAAGCTACAAGCTGAGGTTTGAGATGTTAGTAACAGTCAACTTGGTACCAGTTTGATTTAATCAAGTACTCTGTCTGTCTGATTTAGCTGGCTGTTAATACCATCTATTTGAAAATATTTTTACCTTCTTAATATCTGATGCAGAGTGGAAGCTTATGAGTACCTTTCTTCCACTTGAGATATGTGAACTGCTCTTGCAAACCAACTTGGCAATCATGCTGAACTATAGAAAGTCCACCATCAAGTTAAATCTCCCTTTCTTGCAGAAATCCAGACCTCTTTTTTTTTTTATCCTGAGGTGCCTTATGCCTCTTTCCTGTCTGTTTCTCCCCTGTGAGGTACTTCAAAAAGTTCATGGGAAGATTTGTATTATCTTTTAATTCTATAAGAGTACTTCAAAAAAAGTTCATGGAAAAATAGAATTGAAAGATAAGACAAATCTTTCCACGAACTTTTTGAAGTACTCTCGTATTTCCAAAGAGAAGAAATGTGGCTTCTAGATACACAGTATAAAATCTGTAAAGATGAATGAGTTGATTATTTCCCTTGGAAATCCTCATTCCTGCTCTGTCTCACTTGGCTCTCTCAGATTTAGCCATTGCCTTAGGGCTGGCTTTGAATGTAATTAAATAATAGGAACAGGACCCTGAGGTGAAGCAGGGTGGGGGGTCATCATGGTTTCCTCTCTGATGAACTAAGGTCCCTTTCAGATCTCTCTGAAGAATCAGGAGCACATCCAAGGAACCATCGTTGAGGTTTAGATTCAATCTGAGAGACATAGTCACCACAACCCAGAGGAATTCGTGGGTCTACTGTGTGCTCCACACAGCTGCAGTGTTCTTGTTTCCCTCTCCAGTCTGTGACACCATGAAGCTTATCACAAGAGCCAGCATGTGGATTAGACTCATATAGTAGTGTTGCTGCTACCATGGAAGTTGTTCATGAGACGACTTTTGTCTTAGGAGCACAGAGCATCTTGTCCAAAGTACAGTATACCCTGGACATAGCTACCAGACCCACTAATTTTCCACCTATGTGGTGACCAGACTGACCCTGTGAACACCGGATGAGAAGGGGGGAAAAAGTCATTTTGGAGAGTCCTGACATCCTTGTAGACTCTCTGCCTGCTGTCACTTCTCTGTGAACTCCAGAATCCTTCACCTGTACGCCCTGCTCTTGTACCCTTATCTTCCTTGGGTTAAATGTTAAGAACATGCTCCTGAGAGGTACTCTGTCCCTGCCTCTACAGAGGATGATTTAGAATGAGGATTCACTATCATTGACTTAGTACGTGGCTTTACTACATTCTCCGATTAAGACACATGCTTGATCAAGGGGTCAGATTTTATGAGCAGGGTTGAAATCACAAGGTACAGATGAACCCATGAAATTTTCGGTTGGCTCTTGCCAGACCTTTACTGCTTTTACTCTATTTTTCTCTCCTCCCTCCAGGTGGTCAAATTGATAGTCCCTCTTTCTATCACCACTTCCCTCCCATCAGAAGAAGAAAACTTGTATGGGACTATCCCATATGAATAATGATACTCACTCTAAATAAGTTTTAAAAACCTAGTCTCTGAAAGTAGTCATACATTTATATATCTTCTATATAAAAAAGAACAATCTCAGATTGGAAATTTATAGGACTTCAGGAAGGCTTGCTCTGTGTTTCTGGTAGTCACCTATGTTAATAGTAGATGAATTAAATTAGTTATTTTTGTATGCTGTTTTTAAAGCATTAAAATTATTGACAAAAGTGGTTACTTATTGAAAAAGTAGTTATTTTTCTCAATAATTAGAAACTCTGTTTGATACTTAGGTGACATCCCTGTGGTGTTTGAGTCTAATAGCAGTTCAGCCTGCAGGAAGTGTGCTGAGTGAAGACTTACTGGTTGAGTAAAAGACCAAATACAAACAGCAGTTGTTTGACTATTATTTACTTCTCTTTAAAGATGATCATAGTATTAGACTTTCTGTAGTTAAAGTGTAGATTAGGATTAGGGTAGAGAGAGAGAGATGGGAAATCTTCAATGTCTCCTCCAAAAAACTCTTTCTTTAGTCATCTTGGTTTCTTCTAGCTTCTCAACAAATTGCCCTTCACTCGAGTGAGACCTTATTGGCTCAAATGTCTACAGACTTTTTGGTGGCCAAGAAAATGACTATATATAAGCTCACAAATGGAAACGATTTATTTATAATTAGTTTTCCTAAAAGCGTAAGTGGGTGAGGGTTTCTGCTTCTTATCAAAAGTACTTAACTCCCAGCAACAGCAGTCATGATCTAATCTTTGGCACATGAGGATGATTTTCCAGCAGACAGATTCACAAAGTCATAGAATGTACTTGTGGAGGCACCTTCTCTGGCATCAAAGGATCACTAAGATTCCTTTGGAGACTGCTACAGAGTAAAGAACTTGTGGTTCCAGTAACTCTTCTCCTCAGCTGGAGCTTCAAGCTTACAACTGGTATGCTTTCTTTCTAAATCAGACGCTTTCTTGAGTCCTTCCTATGGTGGAAGACAAGTGTTCCTTTGCCGGCATTCTTTTCCTGGCCACTCACCAGGCTTAGAGAGTGTTCCCTATCTTATTCCATTCCAGAGGAAGCCTGGTCTTTGGAAAACTAGTATTTAATTTTCAGAGTCCTGTGGTAACTTATTTATTAAGCCCATTCAACCAGTAAGGGAAGTTCATTAATGACTTCAATTAACAATTAATGCTGACTTCATTTTCTTGGTCTCTGTTACTGGAATAACATTAGCCATATGAGAAGATCCTCAAACCATCAGAGATTGTTGAGATGAAGTGTTACAAAACCCCAGGACTCTGATATTCAGGGTGTGTACATCATTCTTGTTGCATCTGAATGAATGTGATTTCTGGATCCTGCCCCGAGACTGCAGTCAGAGTCCACTTAGCTCTAATGAGCAGTGCTCCCTTGTCTAATATGACTCAATAATTCTGACCATAATGATAATTAAGATGGCTTTAAATGCACTTTATCTTTAGTAGCACTTACTCTTGGGCTTAGTTATTGCTAGCTTGTTTTCTCACCTTCTGAAAATTTCCTCTTGGTTGCAGTTCATTCTTCCTATTAAAAATAGGCACTTAGAAAACAATCACCAATATTAGGCAGTCTGTTATGGAAAGAAGTTTTGAAGAAGTTAGATAGAAAGATAGCCTTTCTGACATGTCAACAGTTTTTCTTACGGCCTCAGCAGTTTTGTATTACAAGAACTTGGCTTTCTTTCTGTTTGTAGAAATCTGTTGGGGTTCTTACTTCATTCAGCCCCTTCAGCCCTTGTATCTACTCAAAACTCTTCCCCCACTCCACCTGGTTGTAGTGCTTTCCTTTTCCCCAGATATTGATTCCCATGGAGCTCTACTGTGTGATAGTCTTTTCACATTAGCTGTGGCCCAGGTTATTTTCTATCTTCCCCGCCTTCTCCTTTCCAAATACCATATTTAGGTGTTTGAAGGAAACAGGTTCTTGGGTCATTCACAGGGATAGGGCTGAGTCTATTGGACTTATACTATGTGAGTGGCCTGAAAGAAATGGTCATGCCTGGAGGAGGTGCTGTCCAGTATCAAGTAAACAATTACGTAAGGCAATCTGGGATGCAGGTAAGTGCTACATGTCTCTCCATGGTATCTTTATGGTGGGGATCATTTTAGTATATCAGGCCTTTGGCATGGTCCAATTTCCATATGCCTTCTCTAAAAGCGTTTTGTAAATATACCAATTTAAAGGCATATTTAGAAGAAACATGGCAAGGAGTACAGACCAGACCTTTGGATGTATAGCAAGGTGCAGGATGGGTATGTTTTTATTGCTTGTGTAGCAGCTTAGAGCTTGCACATTGTCAGTGCTCAGTAAATGTTCATTGCTGCTATTACTATTACTAGTATTATTATTTAGAATTCAATGTGAGAGGTTAGTGTGGAAATTTCTCAGTTGAGATAGAATATATATATATGTTTGATTGTAAAGATTTACTTTAAGGCTGGAAACATATTGTCTGTATTTAAAACAAGGAGTTAATCCTTTCTGTAGCTTAGTATTAATATAGCAGTGTGACATTAGTAATTGCTTTTGGTCTTAGAGGTCAGTAAGTAGGACTGTTTCTTATTAGCTTGTTAGGGCATCATGAAATGCTTTGCCTATCCAGGGTTCATTCCAGTGGATTAAGCAGTTAGAAATTAGAACAGGATTACTGACAAATCATTCCTTCTATACTATTGCTAAAGTTCTGATTATATAAATTTTTATATGTATGTGTATCAATTCTTCATTTTTTTTCCATTTCATTTTTAAATATCCTATGAGGAGCTCCCTATTTGAGTTGTAAGACTGGTGTGGACATTCTTCATGATACTTAACATGGGTTTTCCTTTTTTTAATTTCACTGCATGATCTTTAAATAATTCGTCTTTCTTCTGGGCAAGAGTACCTTCCAAACATTTATACATATCCATGTTTATTTTCTTGCAGTTGAATTGGCAATGATCATGGACCGTTTGTATGGTGGTGTCTGCTATGCTGGCATTGATACGGATCCAGAGCTGAAGTACCCCAAAGGTGCTGGCCGTGTGGCATTCTCCAATCAACAGAGTTACATTGCAGCCATCAGCGCTCGCTTTGTGCAGCTCCAACACAATGACATTGACAAACGGGTAAGCATCTCAGGGTGGAAATTGCTATGGGAAAGAAATGAAGTTTGTTCTGTGGACCCCTGGGAAGAAAAGTACGTTGTGATCATAAGTGAGCCGCTCTACCTTGCCTGGCATAAGTCCATGAGTCCATCTAGGCTGCCTGAAAAAGAGAGCACCCTTGATATTTAAGGCATTAATGAACCTTCTTTTTTTTTTTTTTTCAGAGTGATGTTACACTTAATGAAAATAACCCTACAGAATTTAGAATACCAAACCAGTGCTTTTCAAAAGATGGTGCTAACAGTGCATTAACAAAGGTTGAGGGCTGGTGACATGTTTGACCTACACAGTGTTCTTCAAACAAACTTGAGTTAACATGTAAATGTTCAGGAGTATACATAAAATGTTGAATTTCTTGTCTCTTTAAAGTAATTATTCTTTATGCCCCTTGTCCAATCTCTCCCCATCTCCCTCTTCCTCCCCCTCCTCTAATTACCCTAGATTTCTTCTCTCCTTCTGAAAGAATAATGGTTGTTACTCTGTTGATTTGTTGCCTAGATGATCTGTCCAATGCTGAGAGGGGGGATCAGGTCCCCCAATATTATCATAGAACAGATGCTTCTTCTGTCACTCTGAAATGGGCTTTGTGGAGAGAGACATCCTCGTCTTTTCTTTGTCTCTGCTGTGACTCTCCTTGTGTCAATGCATTCCAATGGCTGGTGGACCATCTGCATGGTGGTAGTGGCATCTAGCTGCTTTCACAGTGGCCATGGTTATTGTGGTGGCTGTGGTGGGCCACCCACATGGAGGTGATGTTTTTGGCATGCTCCTTGGTGCTGGCAGTGTGGCTGGTTGTGGGAGGGGGGTCCAGTTCGCTTCTCCATGCCTTGGGTCCCTGAGCACTGGCGCAGTGTGCTTGGATGTGGGAGGGGGGTCTGGTCCCCTTCTCCATGTCTCGGGACCTGGGTGGGCCCTGAGGTGCTGACACAGTGTGTCTGGTTTTGGAAGGGGGGGTCCAGTCCCCTTATCTATGCCCCAGGTCCACGGGTGAGCTCCGAGGCACTGGCACAGTGTGCCTGGTTGTGGTAGGGGGGTCCTGTCCCATTCTCCATGCCTCAGGTCACCGGGCAGGCCCCAAGGTGCTGGTGGTGTGCCTGGGCCAGAACTAATTTTTTGTCCTTTGCTTACTTCTCAAACGGGGGGACTTCCTGTGGGAACCAGTACTTGAGCTCTGTGGTTGAGCTAAATTGCTGCTTTGCTGCTGTTTCTCTAGGGAAGGCTTTTGTGCAGCTCAGGGTTTAATGGTTGACCTTATAGGTACTTCTGGCTCTCCATAGACCTGGTGTACCTGAGTTGTGTAGAAACTCTGATCTGGGCCTGAGTTTTTTCATCAAACTGCATCCCACGCAATTCTGCATTCCTGACCAGTCTCCTTTGAGGGGTCCTGCACTGATTGGGGGGCGGATCTACATTGCCTGGCATAAGTCCATCTAGGCTGCCTGAAAAAGAGAGCACCCTTGATATTTAAGGCATTAATGAACCTTCTGCCTCACCCATCCCCAGAGTGATGTTACACTTAATGAAAATAACCCTACAGAATTTAGAATACCAAACCAGTGCTTTTCAAAAGATGGTGCTAACAGTGCATTAACAAAGGTTGAGGGCTGGTGACATGTTTGACCTACACAGTGTTCTTCAAACAAACTTGAGTTAACATGTAAATGTTCAGGAGTATACATAAAATGTTGAATTTCTTGTCTCTTTAAAACTGCAAGATCACACATGGTAGCAATCATTGGAGCCAAATAGCTGCAGTCCCCTTTAGTCTCCTCTCCAACTGCTTCTATTTCTACTGTACATGCCATATATGCATATACATTACTTGCCACTTTGCTCATTGGTGTTACCTGGCTGGCCTCCAGAGACATTGAGTGTATTGCCTCTGATCTGAAAGAGGGGTGGAGTTGTAGGGAGTTGGTGTGCTCAGTTGGTTTTCTGGACAGACATGGGTTTAAATCCCTTCAATCCCAGCTCTGCCACTGTTTGGAAGCTTTAGGGAATGGAAGGTGGTAGGAGCTACTTTAGGACCTATATTTTTAGATGAAAAGAGCTAGTAAGAGAATAGCACTGAGTCTTGAACACCTGCCTATGCAATTGTACAGTGGCTATTAATGCTTCCAGTTAGAGGATGTTCTTGGGGCATACACTGCCCTGGAATTAATAAAGTAGTAAATATGTTCTATTATGAACTTTCACCTATACTCTCTACAGTTGACTTTGACTAATTTTTTGTAGCAGACAATTTTCTTAGGAGGTAGAAATTTCAATTGGCGATGCGTTTTTCTTATTTAGCAAGATTATATTTTATTTAAAAAATGTATCTGATCAAATTACAAAATCCAGTGTTTAGAATAAACATTCTATTTGCTACATCACTAGATTCCTAAAGAGTAAGTGGTTTGTCTGTTCTTAGTTAAAATAAATTTTTTTTTTCCAGAATTTCAAAACATTCTGAATTAATGGAGACTCAGAGGGGTGATAAAGATTCAGCTCCATTCCTGGTTTTCAAGTACCCGTAGCAACCCGAGTTCCCCTGTTTGTAACAGTAATCCCACTAAAAGACTGTAAGCTCCTTATAGATAGGCATGGTATCCATCTCTTTATCTTCCTGATCCCTAGTGCTTACCCACTGCTTAATTTAGTCATAGGTGCTTGATAAACCTTTGTTGAATTAGCATATGGTGCTACTTGGAGGGTTCTCTTAGCTACTGTCGCTGTTGCTGGTGGACTTGCTTGTGCCTGTATACTGGGAGTCTAATATACTAGATTCCATTACACTGAGACTGCTGTGCATCCATCTGGTGAACCCAGGCAATAAACCTAACCTGAAGAGCCTTGGGTTCTCATCTGTGTGGAAGTCGTTTTCTTTGTATTCCTCTGAAGCTGGAACTAGTGACTGTACAGGAGGTGGATCCTGGAGATGATAAAAGAGAACCTAGAGGAGGGTGCCATTTCCCCATCCTCCTACCTCCCGTTTGCCTCCACCCTCCCAACCTCCCAGCCTGTTCCTTAGGAGGAGAGGTATGCTTGCCCCAGGGATTATGGTAGTCTTTGAGCCCCTTTAAGAATCACAGTAAATTCAGATACTGTTTATTTTGTTACCTACCCCTACTCACCCCTACTGCTAGACTCAGGCCCTCAGTATTTCTTCACACAAGATTTAGAGCTAGGTAAAAAAAGAGAGAAATGGCTTTGCTTTTGTTAGCAGGATTGTAGGCTATGAAAATACTTCTCAGGGCTCAGGAATGCCATTGACTGTTTTCTGCTCACTGTGTTTGGTTTAACCATACCTCCCACGTCTTAGAGTAGTCCTTGATAAACATTTAGGGTAGCAGCCAGTTGTATTGGAAAGAGTATGAAGCTAGAACAGATTCCAATGCCTTTAAACCTTTGCTGCACCAGTCACTGGTGACCCCAAGCAGGGATCCTCATTCCTTAATGCCAGGAGCCTCATCTGTAACTTTCTCCTGCAGATGGTCTAAAGATTTAATGAGATTTGAGGACTGAAAAGCCAGAGCCCTAGGGCAGTTGGGCAGATATCTAACCAGCACTTGCTGGTTAGCAGTATTAGTCTAGCTATAAATATGCTTAATATTGATGTTGTTAATATTACATAGCTTGAATTTTATCAGTTGCTCTGCTGAAGACATAGCAAAAAGGTAATGCTGGTTAGTGAAAAGATCACTGGCCCAGAGTCAGATGGCCTGGGTGTAGGTGTGGTCCTGCTCTCCGTGGGTTATGTGACCTTGGGAGAGTCACTTAAATTCTGAGCTTCAGTGTACAATGAAGGCAGTAGTAATAGCTTTGCTTATCCCACAAGATTGTTGAGAAGGCCAGAAGAGATATACAAGAAATCGGCATGTGCAATGTAACATATTGTACACCTGTGAGGTGGGGACTGTTGCTGTGGTGACAACATAGTATCAAAAAGGGACTTGTCCGTTCCTTCAGTGCCCTGGGATGAAAGTCATCTGAATGGGAGCCTTGAAAATCATTAAAAGTGGCAGGGTCCCTACTCTCCCTTGTCTCCCCTCAGGGCCCAGCTCCATCTTTGTGTTCTTTGTTTGCCCTGACGAATATGGAGACTGTTTTCTTTACTATGAGAGTTGGAAGCCAGTGTCCATCTTGAGTTGGGCTCCTTTTTCATGGTTCATCTGGGAACATTATACTCCCTTCCCCCAAACTGTCACTCTGTCACCTTTCGTTTTCTTCTTACTTTGAACGTGGCCTAGCCAACAATACCTTATTTTGTTGTCTCTTGCATTTTAAGCCTCTGTTAACTGCACCCTTTGTAGATGTGTTTTTATGTTTATTCATAGTTTTATTTTTATTCATCTTTCTCCCAAAGCTTAAATTGAGCTTTCCAGAAAGCTCTCATTATAAGCACATCAGTATTTCCTAAGTCATACCCTTTTCTTCTCAGAAAAAAATGATTGTCTACAGAGAATTTCTATCATTAGGCACTCCTTCTTTCCTGGATAACCCCTCCAGGTTTTTAGCAGTAGTCTCATTGCAAAGGTTCTGAAACTTGCTGTGCTGAAAGTCAGGGGCACATGTCCACCTGTGTCCACAATCCCTTTTCCTTGCTATTGAAATTCCAAGGTGCTACAATCAATCATTCTCTCTTTCCTCTGAGGTGAGCCTAGAATTGCCTTTAAACTGAGACCTTGACTATTTTAAATAGCATCAACCTTTATTACTTTCTACTCTAAGGAGTCTGCTTTGCTGTCTGCATCATTACAAACGTAGGTTCAGTGAATTTTTTTAAACTATAGATTGCATTTTAAGGGCCCCTTGCTTCCTGTTTGCAGCCCTTATCCCTTTCAGTGTTTACCCCTTGAGGAGAGTTGGAGGAGGCAACATGCACAGCAGTAATGCCTGGCCTTATTTTTTATTAAGGTCAATTTATTAAATGTCTGGAACCATGGAAGTCCTGAGCTATATGAGGTGTATGCTCTCAAGTTACACCTTTTCTGCATAAACTGTGGGAATTACATGAAGAATAAATTGATCCTTTTCTTCTTTTGTATGCAACCAATTTTTCTCAAAAACCACTCTTTTGAGAGTTTATATATTTATTATTGTTACTATTTGGCTAAAATTTTATACGGGGTGGTTTATGGGGGAAA